AGTTGAATGGGGAGAGGGAAAAGAGGGAAGAATTCAGGATGGGCTTGATCAACAAGGTAGAACATGGAGTAATTTTAGGGAAAAGAAAGGAGGAAGAGAATGAGACTTTGGGGTGTATTACTTATCTATTGCTGTGTAAGCAATTTCCACAACCAACACATTTCCTATCTCAAAAGTTTCTGTGGGAAAGGGCTTTGAGCATGATTTAGTTGGGTCCATTGCTTAGAGCCTCACAAGGCTGCACTCAATGTTATGTCCAAACTGCATTGTTATCAGCTGACAGCTCCTGTCATGTGGTTGTAGGATGAGTGCCCCAGTTTCTTGATGGTCAACTGCCTTCAGCTCCTTGAGACCACCTACGGTTCCTAGAGGTTAGCCACAGTTTCTTGCCACGTGAGCTTCCCCAACATGACTACTAATTTTATTAAACCAATAAGGAGAGTCTCTAAAGCAAGTCTGCTGGCAAGATGGAATCTCATATAGCATGGTATAATAGGAGTGACGTCTTACCTCCTTTGATGTATTCCACTGTTGAGAAGCCAGCCACAGGTCCTGACTATACTTGTGGGAAGGGGATTACACAAAGGTGGGAACACCATCAGGGATCAAGGGACCATCTTAGAATGTGTCTGTCACAGGGCTGGAAGAAGAGTTCAACAGGGACATGCTGAGTTTCATGTAACATCCAAATAAAGATCATTGTTATATTTGGGTCTAGAACCAGAAGATAAATTTAGGAGTAGAATTATAAATTCAGATTCCACATGTAGATCTACAAATGGTAGTTACAATGTTCAAAGCATATGATATTGCACAGGGAGAATGTACACAGAGGAATGTAGATATCTGTGGAGATGGAGAGGCATTAAATATCCTCTCTAAACTTGCGGACAACCAAGCTGTACCGAATACTTCTCATGTTCACAGTCAAACAAAATTCTTTTCTATTTCCTCCACATTTATTCCCTTACTTTGTTTGCTTTGCTCTGTATTTTCATTTATTTCTGGACAGTACTTTTAAATGAAGGAATTAAAATTAGAGATAGTACCTTAATAAACATTGTAATTAATCCCCAGTGAAGGAGAACTACTTCTAGGGTATTTCATGTTCTATTTTTGTTTCCTCCCATTAATATCATTTCAAACTTTTGAACAACTTATTTCACTCTAAATGGCCTTTCACTTACCTTAGATAATATGAAAACCCAAAATAATTAAAATAGTCTCAAAGTAATTAGAAACCTTAGAACATTTCTAATAGTAATTTAAAAGAGTAAGAAATGACATGTAGTTATTGACATGTTTAACAAATTAATTTGGGCAATCTTGTTGAAGGGTAATAAATAAAGGAAAAAACAATTGTACTAAAATAGTCAATAAAATTTAAAAAGCATAGCTGGTCTAGTTTTATAGATTTAGAAATGAGAAAAAAAGAGAATAGAAATCACATTTGCAGGTAAATGGATGGAGTTTGAGAATATAATGCAAAGTGGAGTAAGCCACTCCCCA